AAATGCAGTGGAAATGTTTTGGGGGGATTAAGTTAATTTTCATGGCAAAGAGGGACTTTCCAATTAATTGCAATTCATCTGATCACTCTTCATAACATTCTGGAGTATATGCAAATTGCCATCATAAAAACTGAGGCAGCAGACTTTGTGAAAATTAGTATTTGTGTCATTCTCAAAACATTTGACTTGTACTAGGCAATATGATATGAATTATATGGTGGGTGTTTCTGTATGTTAATAGATTGGCTAGGCGGTCTGACAGAAATGTCATATATAGGATGTCTTAAAGACAATCAAAAGTCTTTGTACTGTATTTGTAAGAGTTGTTCATTTGTTAGGCTATTGGTTAAAGGTGCAACACAATATTGATTATTGAATTATCATTGGTCTAGTTGTCTTATGAATCACTTGGTTCGGTCTTATGTAGCAAAATTTGAAAGTTTTTTTACATGTTTACATGTTTACATTGGATAAAAGTAGAGACTCAGAGCTAGAAAATGGTATATCATACACTGCAGTTGAGGAACAATGGGAAAGTCATTCTGCTTTGAAAGCTGATAAACTTGAAACCCCCTTTTGAGAAAATGGCCCTTGAATGTTTTGGTACACCTACTGGAGAGCTCTTCTTTGTCTACACCCATTCAGCATCGTTCACCCTCTCTTAATCCTTAGCCCCACCCATCTCTTTAAGGATTCACATGAGGCCATTTGGTTAACACACACTATATCAAATAAAATCTAAGTTCATTTGTCACATGCGCAGGATACAGAATGTGTAACTGGTACAGTGAAGTGCGCACATGACTGTAAGTCGCTTTGAATAAAAGCGTCTGCTAAATGGCATATTATTATTATTATTATTATTATTATAAGTGGTTACTTGCATAGTAGCAATATCAAAAACAGAAAGTGTCCAGATAAAAATATTTCATAAATTTCTATCATTATTAGATGACATTTACCCGACACACTTGTCTAAATTGATGGGTCATGTGAAGGAAATGCTATAACCACCCCCCAGCCACATCTAGCTAAGTGGATGGGTCACTATTGTCTACACATTTTTATGAAATACAATAGATGGCTGTAGTCATCCCCCAGACACACCTGGCTAATTTGATGAGTCATTTAATAATCCGGCCAAAGTGGAATGTTTTATTAGACATGTAGCTAGCTAGGTAGCTAGCTAGCTAAACAATGAACCAGTATAATCCCAACTCATACTACTACCAATACAAACATTGTCATAGCTGTAGTATGAATCTGCAGGTAGCTAAAGCTAACAACGTTAGCTAGGTTACATTAGGCTATAACTACCAATGCAAATGGCTTTCTGATTAAAATAATATTACTACACAGATCATACACGTAACGTTAGCTAGTGAGCCAGCAAGCTAACGTTTCCTAGCTAACGGTATGCTTTAGCTTGCAATAAAAACAACTTTTTTTCTATCACCTACACGTGATGCTAGCTCACTAACTAGCTAGGCTAATGTTTGCAAAGCTAGGTAGCTAAATATTATAGCTAGAAAAGCTTAGCTTGTACTTGTTAAGACTATGTATATAACGTATATACAATCAACTAGATATATGTTATTTCAAAACATTAACAGTAAACATGATGCTTTATAGCTATAATATAGCTAATGTTAGCTAGCTAATGAGAAGCTGATCTCTACTGGATGCTTTCACGTTTAGCTCATCTGGGTTTGTTGCTGTTAGCTAGCACATGGACAAGCAGTAGTCGGACATGACATGAATTACCAACATACTTGGATCCTTCATTTATTTTTGCACTACACATATGTTTATGAGAACAGTCAGCCCCCAAATGCTAGCAAATCAGAGTTGAAACTACAGCTAGATAGCTAACGTGAGCTAGCATGGATTGAAAGCTAGCTAGTTACATCTTATCAAACCTGTTGTTTGGTGTGTTTGGTTAGCCTGCTAGCTAGTAGCCAATGCCAAGGCAAGCAAGGTTAGGAATCAAGCTAGCTAGATAGCCTGTTATGCTAGCGACAACGCTAACCGTTTAGATAGATAGCAAGCTAAACATTTGGCTAGCTGGCGTTGAGAGTATGGGGTAACAGTTACAGCGTGGGGAGGGTAATACAATTCTTTCTTCACCATCTCGCAAACTAGCTAGTTATCTAGCTAGTTGTAGCTAAGAGGACTTTCTACAATTTCTTAGGAACATTAGCGAAGCTAGCTAGCAACATGACAATTTCTATTCTGGAGGAAGTGGAAATGCAATTCGAGCTAGCCCACCAAGGCCAGCCCAACTCAGATTGACTTCAAAGTGCGAGGCTTTAGATAGGGGGGTAGAACAGTTTTAATATTGCAGATAGATTGTGGGTTCTATCAATGCAATTGTTTGCATAATTTCTAATCCCCCATTATAAAAAATATTTTTTCCTTCTTTATTATTTTCTCCTAAACCTACTACACTTCCCCTAATTGGAGTAAACTAATGGTCAGCAATACTTAGACTTCTACTTCCAGCTTATACATACCACACTGAACAAAAATAAATGCAAAATGAAACAATTTAAAAGACTTTACTTGGTTATAGGTTGGTTCATATCAATCAATTGAAATAAATTCATTAGGCCCTAATCTATGGATTTCACATGACTGGGAATACAGATATGCATCTGTTGGTCAAAGATGCCTTAAACAAAAGGTAGTGGCGTGGATCAGAAAACCAGTCAGTACTGGTGTAACCACCATTTGCCTCATGCAGCGCTCCTTCGCATAGAGTTGATCAGGCTGTTGATTGTGCTCTGTGGAATATTGTCCCACTCCTCTTCCATGGCTGTGCGAAGTTGCTGAATATTGGCGGGAACTGGACACGCTGTCGTACACGTCGATCCAGAGCGTCCCAAACATGCTCAATGGGTGACATGTCTGGTGAGTATGCAGGCCATGGAAGAACTGGGACATTTTCAGTTTCCAGGAATTGTGTACAGATCCTTGCGACATGGGGCTGTGCATTATCATGCTGAAACATGAGTTGATGGCAGCGGATGAATGGAAAGACAATGGGCCTCAGGATCTCGTCATGGTATCTCTGTGCATTCAAATTGCCATCAATAAAATGCAATTGTGTTCGTTGTCCGTAGCTTATGCCTGCCCATACCATAACCCCACCGCCACCATGGGGAACTCTGTTCACAACGTTGACATCAGCAAACCGCTTGCCCAAATGACGCCATACAAGCTGCCTGCCATCTGCCCGGTAAAGTTGAAACCGGTATTCATTCGTGAAGCGCACACTTCTTCTCCATCGTGCCAGTGGCTATTGAAGGTGAGCATTTGCCTACTGAAGTCGGTAACGACGCTGAACTGCAGTCAGGTCAAGACAAATGTATATGGGGTGTTTGCTAAATTCGATTTTTAAACAAAATAATGTAATGAATGGAGCTGCATTTTTTTCCCCCTGTGAGCACTAAGCGATTTTTAGCGGAGCGGGAAAAAGGCTGTCGAGCGCCTGAGTGGGATTTCTGACGCTCAACTCCACTCAACCCAGGCAAACAACCACATTCCATAAATCCCATACCCTTTCCATCATTGTGTTGTTTTTTCTGTTCACGTTAGCAGAACGTGTCTTTGTTGGTGGAGTTAAAACCAGCTAGCCCATAGATGCCAAAATACTATGGTCCACGATTAAAGAGTTTACAGTTTCTTTTCTTTATTGCTTCTAGCATAAAGTCTCAGAAATAAGGGGTAAGTATGGCTGCCTGTCTGTTTGACCTGGGTAACTACTCCTTAGAGTCTGTTAGTTTGTGTGTGTGTGTGTGTGTGTGTGTGTGTGTCTACTCTGCATCCACAGATTACTAGTTATCACTGCGGGTCCTAATCCCAACTGTGCGCTAATATTTTAAAACATTCATCCTGTTTTACCACAGTCTTAACGCAGGAACAATAGAGCTGGCCAACGTTTTTGTGTTGTCAGTAACCCTAAAAAGGTCAAAATGACCTTTTTACGGTTCGCTGATTTTTCATGTGTCATGATACAACAACCTAATCCAAACTACTAGATGGGATTAAAAGGAAGTCTCAGCATTATTACATTTTTTTTTTTTTACGACTCTATTATCCCTATTACCCGCTATTAGACGTGTTGTCATGGAAACAAGAGCTCACTGATAGGATGTGATGTATGATGATGTCTTCCCAACAAACCAAAACGTGTTCTGTGAATGTTCTGTGAAGTTGTAGGAAAGGTGTAAGAACATTACCTGCAAAAGTTCTAATAACACAAAATCTGTCCAGTCGTGTTGATGATTAAACAATGTTGCAAGAATGTTACCAGAACATATTTGTTACGTTCTTTTCAAGTTCCCAAAACGTGTAATTATGTTGTGAGAACAGTGCAGTGACATTACATGAGATCGGTTCCCAAACCACAAAATCTGTCCAGTTGTGCTGAAATGCACATTTGTATTAGGGTGCACAAAACATTCCCCTACTGTTGCAAAAATGTTCACCAAACACATTATTTCTGTTATTTAAAAGTTAAAAAAACATGTCATTAAGATTGTAGGAACAGTGTGGGGACATTCCAAGATATAGGTTCCCAAAACACTCTATGTCCAGTTGTGATCACATTCTTACAATGTTTCTATCAGGGTGCACAAAACTTTCCTTTAATGTTCTTAGAATGTTATTCCCATGTTCCTAGAATAATACAATTAAGTTTTGAACAGTCGATTGAGGTTTCTTTCATGTGTTAGTGCTATTTTACTGTTGAGAAATATGTCTGTACAACAATTAATGTAGAAAGACATTTTGCAATTATTTGTAACGTGACAGTTAATTAGACCGTGTATTAGACATTGCTTGTACAAACATAGTTTACAACATGGTAAAATACGTTTTACCATGTTGTTGATAGTCTTAAGCGGGGATCGAACCTGGGAGCTTTGAAGTGTTATCCCTGGAATTAATCCACTACACCACTGGGATGGGACTAACAAAAATGTTAAGCCTGTTCACACCTTTACTCTGACCTCCATGTTGGGGTCTTTGTCTGTGAGAGAGGATAACAAAATCTATAAAAATAAGTTTCCTCTTCTATTTCTTACTCTACCAATCCTCTTTATATACTGTAAAGTTGGGATGTTTTGACTTTTTATTTTCCCTACGAACTTGATTTCAGAAATCATGTAAAATTATTGCCTGACAGATTGTGGTGAGGTGTACATATATGTGCATATGTACTGAGACAGCCATAGTTTGAATCATATTTTAAAGGGAGGCTGAACTCAAAAACCAACTTCTCTGGTTGAAAATGGTCTATGTTGCATCGATATTAGTCAGAAACTTGATTGTAGTATAAATATTGACTACAAAGTGTAAATAGCATAATTTGTGTCATAAAGTCAGTATCTTCAAAAACTGAGATTTGCGAGATTTTGGGAAGCTGTTAAATCCCTAGATTTTTGGATATTTGAGAGTTGGGTTGTGATTTCAATAATGCCCACTTGCCCACTAACACAGGATGGTAACACCTAGGGAGAACTGTCATGCACAGAGAAACAGCTTTGCTGACAGTGAGACAGGCCTGCCCATTAGGCTACGCAGCGCCTCAGACTTGTTTACATAAGACAACACGTCGCCAACGTTCTGTTGAAAGAACACTTGGCCCCTAAACCCTTTATGGAGTGGCCACTTGCTGATGTGTTTGATAGTGATCACTTGAGTCTTTCACTGTTTTGGGCAAAATGAGAATTGAGACAATCCGCACTTGCATCCCACGTGCCACTTGTCAGTATTCCAAAATTGAAAACCCATTCGTAAGCATCTTGTGTCCTGCCGCGACCTGTTTTGTAACATGATTCACTATGAAACACTGCCAGACAGACGCACACTCCAGTAATAGATAGTGAGAAAGTTGTAAAAACAAAACGGCACCGAAGCATATACGTCGCCACTCGCCAGTGACTTGATAAGCTTATTTAGCTAAAGTGGCCTGCTTGCTCAATGTGCCTGCTAGCTACTAGCTAGCTTAACTGACAAACACAGAGATGGAACTTAGCTAGCTAGCTAGTAGGGCCGGGACAATACAAGTATCGCAATCTTTTTTCCATGTAAAATATTATGTGCTATAGCTTGGAAAATAAATAAATATGACTTTGGATGACAACATAATGATGGGGCTGTTTTCCTAAAGAAGTTAAATCCGCTTCATGTTTTGTTTCCTAGCCACAATACTAACGAGTATCACAATACTGGTATTGTCCCGGCCTTACTAGCTAGTGATTTTGGGCACTGATAAACAGCGTGTAGCTTGTTCTTTATTTACGATAGCAAATATTTTTATAACTAACCCAAGCTAGACCACAGCCTGTCGTTTCCAATGGGAGCAAATTAATCAAACAAGCAAGGAAGAGGGCAGAGCCAAAAACGAGCTAGCGAGATCCTATTGGTGCGTTCTAGCATATATTTGCATATTTCCGTTAGGTAACGCCTATTCTGAAGTGCGCGTGTGCAATAACAAAATTTGCCCTTGCACAAGTTTTTTTTTTTTTTTTTACTTTGGCAAAGGGTAAAGTCTACAAAACTTGGGCCACTCTGTTCGTAACTGATTCTAGTTTTGGGAACAGAAAACTGTATTGAGATCAAATGTTTCATAGATAATTAGCAGAATATCGGCCAAAATCCATCTCGCTCCATCTTTTCCCACTGGGCTTCCTCTCATCACCATATTTGGTGGTGAGTGGAAATGCCAACCGGATGCTTCAGATTTATACATCCGGTGAAAACATCTGGCTAATTTTTCCATCTGTGATGATAGTTTGACAGTTTGCTGATGAAGTTGTAGACATGTTCTCAGAAATATTTCCTGAGCTCAGCAGCAGCTGACTTGACTGTCTGCAGTGCACTGACTAGTTTTCATGCAAAAAAATGTACTTGAGATATACTGCACAAAACACCTTAGCTAGATGTAAAATTGCTCGACTATGATCTTCTCAGAAAATACTTCAAACTACATTTTGAGGGCAAAATGTTGCTACCGTGACTCAAGAGGGACAAACAACAAATATAGCTGCAAGTAGCAATGAATGGGGTTCACAGCATGACAAAAAGGACAAGATAAGTTGGATAACAAAACAAGCACTATCATGTAGGAACTATCTTCCTTTATGTGAAATCAGTGACAGCATTACCATGTTTATCTCTCAATACCACAAGGATGGCACAAGTGAAGTTTAGTCTAATGCTGTAGGTTGGTTATCTTTGAATGCAGCAGGTAATCATTCAGTTGTTAATAGTTTCCTTGTTTTTTCAAACCAAATTCAGTGTGGTTCATCTTAAAGACATCCATGATAGCAATGACAAGTTTCAAGTTGATAGGCCACTGTGGAGTGGATTTACAGTGGTTTAAATGGACATGTAAAATCAGATTTTTGCTAAGACATGTACCATGTGCCTACATATTTGAGCATATTAGTGTATGTGCTAATATGCATCTACTGGTATAGTGTGGCCATCTTTGCATGCATCAATGTTATTTTCTCAAACTCATTAGGGACTATTGTGATGAGTCAAAATACCAAATTTTGAGTGAATCTGACTTGTAGTCTATGAGAAGATTTGTTATGATTATTTTAAGCAATAGAGTTACATAGTCAAAAAAGTGAATAGTTAATAATGTCCTTATTTATAAAGATATCGATGCCAAACTGAACATGGTTCATCATGGTCACATCTTCGATGAACCTAAAAAGTTGCAAGTTGATAGGCCTTTGTGGAGTGGATTTACAAAGGATTTAAATGGACACGTAAAATCGTATTTCCTCTCTTCACCAATCCCTTAGCTTTTCTCAAACTAAGTTAAGAAATGTACCATGGGCCTACATACCGAAGTGTTATTTGGACTTATGGTTCACGAGAATATGTTTTTCAAAGGTTTTCCCAAAAAATCCCTTATGGGTCCTTGAGGAACATTTTAAAACTTCAAGTCTCTAGGTCAAACGGCGCGACGGATATGAGGGTTTAAGTGAGACTGCTTATAACAGCACCCCCTTTAGGCCATTGGTGCCATTATTTTTTGGCAAGCTACTCATGGCATCTAATTTGTGTGTCAAATTAGAAAAAAAGTTACCAATCTTTGCTTGAGTTATTTGACCATGTCAAGGAAAGAAAAAATTATAATTCAGACAATAACAATGGGCTTTCACAGCTTTGCTGTGAACCCCAAATAACTGCCAGGGTACGATATAGCGAACATAACACACCCACATTGAACCACACCCCCAAGATGCAAATCACATTTTTCTTAATGAGCAGCAGAAAAGCCCAGGCAGAATCGGTGAGTTCAGCCCCTCTTTAACGATTTCAGTGTAAAGGGAAATCCACCGGAAATATTACGATCCTGTTGGCGCAGCAGACTAAGCGGCCTAAAGGGCTGGAAGATGTCAGATCGCAGGTTCAAATCTACTTGATTAACTTTCTTTAAAAAAGCAATAACTATGTTTAGACAATAGTCTAATAAATTACCATGATGTAAGAAGATTGAAATGCAAATTGTTTAAACATTTGGCAAATTCCTATAATAATGTTACACAAGTGAGACCATTTTGGTCGAATATGCTCCTAGATATTTTGCTGTGTGACCTGACATTTTATTTTGGGAGCATCACCCAGATAATAATTGTTGTAATGATAGGCTTCCCTGTGCAGTTGTTTCGGAGTGCCTTAGAGAAAAAAGTTAGCGCAGATTAGTTCAATCCAAAGCCTACATGTAAAGAATATTAAAGAATACATCAGTGATTTGTATTTTTTGCAACTTTCTGATGACGTAACAGCATGGGAATGCCTGTGTCTACCACTTTGTGTAGCCAATTGGCGATGCCGAAACAGTCATTTCTAAAGGCTTTCCCATAAAATGTTCCCAATTAAATATTAACTGCAAAGTAGGCTTAACTGGCAGAATGATAGGATATCATGATGATTTGTATCAATCGGGTGGTATTTTCTTTTGCAAACTGTGCTATTGCGCATGCAGTACAGAAACACAGCCAGACAAACACCAGCCTCTTGATGTGCTCAAATCATGCTAAATTCTCTTCCCTAGACCTCAAAAGTGGTCTCCTGATGTGGTTTAAGCATTGTTGTGGATTTAGAACATCCAATTTTGTTGTTTTTCTATTTAAAAAAAATTTGTGAATAAGAGTGAAAATCTGAGAAAAAAAACGGGGGAATTGCAAAACCTGGAAAAACAAAACCGAGAAATGTTTTTTTTGTGTTATTTTGTGTCATTATGGCAAATAAATGTATTGGCTGGTAAGAATTCTGAGTGGCTCATATACTTATTTCATCTACCTGCTACAGTGGCTGGTGGACCAAAAAGTACATTTTTAGGCACTGTTCATAAACCATGTCGCGGGTCATTCCAAAACCACTCACAGGTATTTGTTTACACATTGTTCAGTCATGTTACCTAGCTAGCTAGCTAGCTAACAACCTGGTTACTTTACCAGCATATCAACATATTTGGGGGCACAGAAAGAAAGGAAAAGGGATAGATTTTTTAGAAAGTCAATGATCATAGCGATGAATGAATGACTGATCTCTTGCTTGATAGGCTTCACTGTCATCACTCACAAACTTGACACTCTTAAAGAGACAGCGTAGAATTTCCAATGTAATGCATCTCAATAGGTCGTGTTTTTACACAATGTAGAAGCCTAATATTCCACAAATGACTAATTTCAATGACAGGTTTTTGTATCAACATTCTAGCTTTTTACATGGTAAAATATTAGTTTCTAGAGCAAAACATGTGCTTCAAAAATGCTATATCTCAGTCAATTAAATATATATACTGTATCTTCTGTTTCGCCAAGATTTTATGTTGGGCTCCTTACTTTTTTAAGTTGGGCACACCAATGCTACCATAGATTTGTATTTATTTATTTTAGAGCCCTAGTTACGCTACAGATTAATATTAGCAGAACATTGAAGCAATGTTTTCATAACTACTTCCATTATCTTTAAAGTACATTTTCAGAACATTAATGGAACATCATGTCATAACATTACAGAATAACTTTATAAGAGTCTTGTGGGAATGTTCCATGCATGTTGTTTTGGATGACGTCTCCATGAACATTAGCAGAACGTTCCTGTAATGTTTTCTCAGAACCAATTAAATTGAATCCAGACATATTTGCTGAAGTATGTTCTGGGAATGTTTTTACAACATCATGTCATAACGTCACACAATAACTTTATGAGACCATTGAAGGAATATTCCCTGCTTGTTGTTATGGGTGTTTCGAATAAGATATCCATCAACATTAGCAGAACTTTCCTGTAATGTTTCCTCAGAACCACTTCTATTGCTCCCACATTTTGTTTTGGCAGTATGTTCTAAGAACATTACCGTAACATTGTGTTATTGCATTCCATGGCAACCTAATAAGATTCTTAGGGGAACGTTCTGTGGTAGTTTTTTCAAATGTTGTGAACAACATTTTAGTGAATGTTAGGAGAACATTCCAAGGATATTTCATTCCAAACATTTTCTTAGAAAAATTATTTGAATGTTTGTGGGACGTTATCATTTTCTTTCATACTAACTACAACTTAATGGGAATGTTGGCTAATGCCCTGGGAATGTTCCTGGTTTGCTGTGAGGGATATAGAGGACGTTTAGAGGCTGTCCTTACCGTGAAGCCTTTCTCTGATCATCTGACTCCTCCCACTCAGCGGGGCAAAGGGCTCTGGCACAGAACCATGGTCCATCTGAGAGAAAAGCACTGGTAAGATCGCAGCATTACACAGACAGACAGACAGCCAGACCGAACGCCACACACTGACACCCCGCCACCCCACCCCGACACACACTCACAGCTTTGTGAAAGACATCCTCCACCAGTTGTCGTATGACCCTGTTGGGCGGAGGCAGGAGAGAAGCTTTGTGCTGAGACTCACACGACTCCAAGATACTGTTCAGATTGACCCTTCGGTGGGCCAGGTCCTCGCACATGCTCAGTAGCAGGCTGTTTAGGTGGTCACTCAACTGGACCGGCTGGGAGAGACAGGAATAAAGATGCAAGACAAGGTATCAATATCTCTCCAGGTATCAATATCAATGGAGAGAATAAGAGAAGTGTGATGGTGTGCCCGGAACTACTGGAGGACAGAACATGCTTGAGAGAAAGACTTGAGAGAACGAGTTCTTGTTCAACATGTTTTATGTTTCTAAATTTTGAAGTCAATTAAATGTTGAGGGTCACAGTAATGTAAGAGAGACACATTTGGTATCACTGCTCTGATAAGTGGTGTTTTGAAAGAAAATTGACCCACCTGATTCTGAGGTAGATGATAATCGACAGACCAGTAGAGAGTCATACCAAGTGAATACACCAGCATCTGGTAGAAGACAGACAGATTAGAGTATGACACTCAATATTAGTCGGACATTAAATCCTTCTGGAAAAAAAACCTGCATGCCAAAACAATTCACATTAACAGTGCAGATGGTGTATCCTTGTGTATTGTGTTTCGGTTTACACAGGCAAAGCACTGTCTACACAAGGGCAGCACTTATGAAAATGTATTTCCTCTCTAGGACCACTAGATGGCGATATGTGCGGGTTATCTTTGCTGCAGGTTACTTGAGGCTCATTGCTGTGTTCGTGCTGCCATCTACTGTATCAGCAGTGCACACACACACACACACACACACACACACACACACACACACACACACACACACACACACACACTATGTTAGTGCTTCCCCCTTGTGTATTAGCTTCAGTACAGGGACTTAGCTCACTGCAGCAGTGTAAGTGCTGATAGTGCAATGAATGCTTTTAGTTAGTGGTGCTGGACCAAGGCCATATGAGAGATGAATTACATCATAAATCCTCTCTCTCTCTGTAGTGAACCAATATAACCCACATTCACACCGTTCAACAGCAGAACTGCTACTAATTTCAACATCAGAAACCACATTGTGATAGAGGCAAATCTAATGTCAGGTTTACATTTACACCTGATATATGAGGATAGGATTTGGTGATGGTAAGCTGATCCTAGGACTGTGCCTATGGGTAACGTCTAATTGGAGCTGGGGCTTGGGCACAATGTGTTTGTGCTAACCTTCTCCATAGCAGGTTTGGTTGAGGAGGCACGGCCTTGCAGCATCTCTGGCGCGGTGAACGTGCACGCCTCATCTGATAGGGTGCAGTTCTTAAACGCCAGTGTTCCAGTGGCCGAGAGCAGCAGGGAGGTGGGGCTTATGATGCTACACATACTGTCATGTCCTGAAAAGGGAACAGAAATACAGACTGTGGAAATGACATGCAATACCTGATAAATGTCTCTAAATAAATCATGTTTCTCCACAAATCCATATCCCCATAGTTAGTATGATGTTAGTATTTAATATTAAGAAGTAGTATGTATAGTATAGTATGTATAGTATATTGAGTTACTACATTAGTATTAGTAGTTTTATAGAACAGTACTGTAGTGGGTGCCCAGGAGGAGTATTTAGTATAATTTAGTATTACAGTAAGTAGCACTGAGTAAGTACATCAGTAGTATTACTGTACCTTTGTATGAGACGTCGACCAGGGACTCTGCAGTGCCCAGGAGGAGGGACCACACCTCGTCCTCCAGAAGAGGGCCTCCTCGACACTCCAACACTTCTGCTAGCGTCACAAACGTGCTGCTCATCCTGCACACACACCACACACACACCTGGAGACAGACACATCAATCAATCAAACAAACAATCAATCAGTCTGTCACACACACACACACACACACACACACACAACTGAACAGCTGATCAACTAGGGATCAGTCTAGAAAACTAATGCCTATAAGACCGATTTGATTTGCACTGCTAAACATATTACTCATATCTGGCCTCATGTCTGTTTACTGCATATCCTCCATATAACATTAACAAGTCATTACAGTTAGTATCCTGAGTTTCCGCAGTTCCTCCAGTAAGTTTCAACAGTTAGGTTGCCCTCTATCGGTGTTGATTTTGTCACGGAGGTCTGATGGTGCTAAAGTAAACAAACAAGCCAATAGCAGTGATTCAGCACCAGTGAAGCAGACTTCCGGAGTTCAGCAGCACAGGACAGTGAGGTGCAGCCACCCCACTGAGATAATAAATACATCCAGGGATGGAGATAAAACAAGGAAGAGCGAACCAGGATATCCAATATACATTTTTTTTTACCATTGTAAATAATAGGGAAGAAATTGCAACAAAACAAAAATAGACCTCTCCAATGACTTTTACTGTACGGTCTGACCCTGAGCCAATTCTCAGAAACAGAGCCAGCTCATCCCAGTGCCTGCTCATCCAAACAGCATTTCCAGTACTCTAGTGTTTAGTGAAGTGTGCTGGATTTCATCAGTTAGATGTTGTTTGCTGTTGATATCTGTGACAGATCATCCTCTCAGTGGCCCCCCATCAGTTCCTCTGGACATAATGAGCTTTCCCTTCACAGAACAGCGCAAACTGGCTCTAACCAGAATAGAAAGAGGAGTGGGAGGCCCCGGTGTACAACTGAGCAAGAGGACAAATACATTAGTGTCTAGTTTGAGAAACAGACGCCTCACAGGTCCTCAACTGGAAGCTTCATTAAATAGTACCCGCAAAACACCAGTCTCAATGTCAACAGTGAAGAGGCAACTCGGGGATGCTGACCTAGGCAGAGTTGCAAAGAAAAAGTCCAGTGTCTGTGTTCTTTTGCCCATCTTAATCTTTTATTTTTATTGGCCAGTCTGAGATATGACTTTGTTGTCCTTAAGCCATTTTGCCACAACTTTGGAAGTATGCTTGGGGTCATTGTCCATTTGGAAGACCCATTTGCGACCAAGCTTTAACTTCCTGACTGATGTCTTGAGATGTTGCTTCAATATATCCACATAATTTTCTATTTTGTGAAGTGCACCAGTCCCTCCTGCAGCAAAGCACCTCCACAGCATGCTGCCACCCCCGTGTTTCACGGTTGGGATGGTGTTCTTCGGCTTGCAAGCATCCCCCTTTTTCCTCCAAACATAACGATGGTCATTATGGCCAAACAGTTATATTTTTGTTTCATCAGACCAGAGGACATTTCTCCAAAAAGTACAATCTTTGTCCTCATTTGCAGTTGCAAACTGTAGTCTGGCTTTTTTATGGCGGTTTTGGAGCAGTGGCTTCTTCCTTGCTGAGCGGCCTTTCAGGTTATGTCGATATAGGACTAGTTTTACTGTGGATATAGATACTTTTGTACCGGTTTCCTCCAGCATCTTCACAAGGTCCTTTGCTGTTGTTCTGGGATTGATTTGCACTTTTCGCACCAAAGTACGTTCATCTCTAGGAGACAGAACGCGTCTCCTTCCTGAGCGGTATGACGGCTGCGTGGTCCCATGTTGTTTATACCTGTGTACCATTGTTTGTACAGATGAATGTGGTACCTTCAGGCATTTGGAAATTGCTCCCAAGGATGAACCAGACTTGTGGAGGGCTACTTTTTTCTTTCTGAGGTCTTGGCTAAATTCTTTTGATTTTCCCATGATGTCAAGCAAAGAGGCACAGAGTTTGAAGGTAGGCCTTGAAATACATCCACAGGTACACCTCCAATTGACTCAAATGATGTCAATTAGCCTATCAGAAGCTTCTAAAGCCATGACATCATTTTCTGCAATTTTCCAAGCTGTTTAAAGGCACAGTCAACTTAGTGTATGTAAACTTCTGACCGACTGGAATTGTGATACAGTGAATTATAAGTGAAATAATCTGTCTGTAAGCAATTATTTGAAAAATTACTTGTGTAATGCACAAGGTAGATGTCCTAACCGACTTGCCAAAACTATAGTTTGTTAACAAGACATTTGTGGAGTGTTTGAAAAACAAGTTTTAATGACTCCAACCAGTGTATGTAAACTTCCGACTTCAACTGTATATACACACAGTACCAGTCAAAAGTTTGGACACACCTACTCATTCAAGGGTTGTTCTTTATTTGAACTATTTTCTACATTGTATAATAATAGTGAAGACATCAAAACTATGAAATAACACATATGGAATCATGTAGTAACCAAAAAAGTGTTAAACAAATCAAAATATATTTTATATTTGAGATTTTTCAAATAGCCACCCCTTGCCTCGATGACAGCTTTGCACACTCTTGGCATTCTCTCAACAAGCTTCATGAGGTAGTCACCTGGAAATGCATTTCAATTAACAGGTTTGCCTTGTTAAAAGTTAATTTGTGGAATTTCTTTCCTTCTTAATGCGTTTGAGCTAATCAGTTGTGTTTTGACAAGGTAGGGATGGAATACAGAAGGTGGTCTTTTACCAAAAAGGGCTGTCCATATTAGGGCGGCAGGTAGCTTAGTGGTTAAGAGCGTTGTGCCAGTAACCGAAAGGTCGCTGGTTCTAATCCCCGAGCCGACTAGGTGAAAAATCTGTCGATATGCCCTTAAGCAAGGCACTTAACCCTAATTGCTCCTGTAAGTCGCTCTGGATAAGAGCGTCTGCTAAATGACTAAAATGTAATGGCAAGAAAAGCTCAAATAAGCAAAGAGAAATGCCAGTACATCATTACTTTTAGACATGAAGGTCAGTCAATCAGGAAAATGTCAAGTGCTTTGAAAGTTTCTTCAAGTGCAGTCGGAAAAACCATCAAGCACTATGATGAAACTGGCTCTCATGAGGACCACCACTGGAATAGAAGACCTCTACTGCAGAGGATAAGTTCATTAGAGTTACCAGCCTCAGAAACTGCAGCCCAAATAAATGCTTCAGAGATCAAGTAATAGACACATCTCAACAGTAACTATTCAGACAAGGGGTGGCGCTCTGTGTATATTTGTAAATAACAGCTGGTGCACGAAATCAAATTAATTAAGGAAGTCTCTAGGTTTTGCTCACCTGAGGTAGAGTATCTCATGATAAGCTGTAGACCACACTATTTACCAAGAGAGTTTTCATCTATATTTTTCGTAGCTGTCTATTTACCATCACAAACCGATGCTGGCACTAAGACCGCAGTCAACGAGCTGTATCAGGCCATAAGCAAACAAGAAATGCTCAACCAGAGGCGGCGTTCCTAGTGGCCGGGGACTTTAATGCAAGGAAACTTAAATCCGTTTTACCTAATTTCTACCAACATGTTAAATGTGCAACCAGAGGAAAAAAAACTCTAGACCACCTTTACTACACACACAGAGACGCGTACAAAGCCCTCCCTCGCCCTCCATTTGGAAAATCTGACCATAATTCTATCCTCCTGATTCCTGCTTACAAGCTAAATCAAAAGCAGGAAGTACCAATGACTGGCTCAATACAGAAGTGGTCAGATGACGCAGATGCTAAGCTACAGGACTGTTTTGCTAGAAGAGACTGGAATATGTTCCGGGATTCTTCCGATGGCATTGAGGAGTACACCACATCAGTCACTACCTTCATCAATAAGTGCATCGATGACGTCGTCCCCACAGTGACATACCCCACACTCCGCTGCAACTTGCCCATGCCCCCCCAATGATGTCGCTCTTGCTGCTGGTGACTCTCAGATCCACCTCTACGCAGACGACACCATTTTGTATACATCTGGCCCTTCATTGGACACTGTGTTAACTAACATCCAAACGAGCTTCAATGCCATACAACACTCCTTCAGTAGCCTCCAACTGCTCTTAAAACACTAGTAAAACTAAAATGCATGCTCTTCAATCGAACGCTGCTGGCACCCGCCCACCCGACTAGAATCACTACTCTCGTCGGGTCTGACCTAGAGTATGTGGACAACTACAAATACCTAGGTGTCTGGTTAGACTGTAAACTCTACTTCCAGACTCACATTAAGAATCTCCAATCCAAAGTTAAATCTAGAATCGGCTTCCTATTTCGCAACAAAGCCTCCTTCACTCATGCTGCCAAACATGCCCTCGTAAAACTGACTATCCTACCGATCCTTGACATCAGCGATGTCATTTATAAAATAGCCTCCAACACTCTACTCAGCAAATTGGATATAGTCTATCACAGTGCCATCCGTTTTGTCACCAAAGCCTCATATACTACCCACCACTGTGACCTGTACACTCTTGTTGGCTGGTCCTCACTACATATTTGTCGCCAAACCCACTGGCTCTAGGCCATCTATAAATCACTGCTAGGCAAATCCCTGCCTTATCTTAGCTCATTGGTCACCAGTGGCGGCTCCTGAAAAAATTCTCAGGGGGGGCAATTTTTCTGATGATTTAGGTGACCTACACACATTTAAAAAAATATATGTCCAGCAACAACATGAAGACAGGGGCAGCATATAAGTCAATACCAGAAGCATTTATTGACTGATCTCAAAAGTGTTGGCTTACAAAAGCAAAATAAGTTATCACAGTAAAAATAATCAAGGGTGTTCTTTCACATTCCTCAACACTGCATAAACAATATGCATTTCCATAAAACACCTAATCTAATTGTGCCACAAAGTTGACAAGTCCAAGAAAAATACCAGGGTTGGTGGAGCCCTCAGTTTCATCTTTGCCTCGCAAAGCTAACTCAAACACTCCGCAAAACTTCACACACTGGATTAGCCGGCTGAGGATGTGGCGGTTCTTGCTAACCTCATCGTTGTGGCGGCGGACAGCTAGCCTGTATCCCTCATCCAGTTGAGTGGCAATGTTCACTCTCCCAAAAGCAGACAATCTCAAACAGCTATCCATGTGGGTCTTTGACAGCT